GCTTTTTAAAATTGCTTTGAGGTATAATCTATTAGTGCTGGGGTTAAAGAGCATGCACAGTTTAGTGACTTTTAGGACATATTTTCAAGTTTCTCTCCAGAGTGGCCGGGGGCTGGACCAATCCACAGATTCATTAACAGTGCATTCGTGTGCCTGCAGTTCCTCCAACAATTGCTGTTTTCTTGTTGGGTTATCTTTGACGATTTAATGGTTGTGAGACAGAATCTCAGCCCTGGTTTAATTTGCCTTTTTTTTCTTATTAGCGATTCAGAATTGTTGTTGTTTGTCCTTCATTCTGGAAGAGAACCAATGGCATGAGGAGAGTGATGTCTTGACTTGAAAGTGAATCGGATTTAAGGGAGGGAGGACTGTACAAAGTCATCAGCCTCACTCTCTGTTCCAGAGCCATCAGGGTCCAGTGGCCAGATACAGATCAGGATGCCTGGAGATGGCCCTGGCTGCAGTAGGAGACCTTGGCCTTTTTAAGCTGAGGTCTTTCCCAGGTCTCAGTTTGCTGAAGACAACGCCCATTCAGTGATTAGAGAATAGGTAAGAATTGAGGCAAAAGACGGCTTAGTTTGCCTTCTCAAAGGAATCAGTCTGGGAATGGAAGACGTGCAGTGACTTGGAATATTTTCTTCACGTGGCCATTGACAACTTGGATTTCATCCTTTGAGAATCACCTGTTCATATCCTTTGACCATTTATCTATCGGGGAATAGCACTAGTTCTTATACATCTGTAGGGACACTTCTAAGGAGGAGGGGCATCACTAGTTTTTTTATATTTCTTCTGTACCTGATATATTCTCATAGTAGACACAGTGGAGATCATGGGCCAGAGTTCCATGGGATGAACAGGCATGGGCGACCTGTATCACTCAGTAAGATCAGAGACTCATGGGTGTATTGGTGACATAGTGGAATACAATATGGTTTGTCATAGTAAGCTCTGCTTCTTGGGAATGGCAGAGAGAAGATTTCTGCTTGGGTATCGGTGGGACTAGATGGTCTCTAGCATTTGCTCCTTTGGCAAGTGGCACAAAACGTCCTTTGAGGACAAAAGATGTCTTCATGCCAGAAGGAGGGCAGAAAAGACTCTGGAGACCATGAGGTCATTGTCGGGGGTGGGGGAATGGAACAAGGTGAGACTAGTGGAGGATGGGTACAACTAGAGTGTGGCTGTTGGGGGAGGAAGCCGCCATCTGCCAGCATCCCATTTACTCTCACTAACTAGGTACCAACTTCTGTTTCTACGCTGCTGAAGGATTCAGAGTGCTTTCTGTGCCCTGCTAAATCTTGGTATTCTGAGACAAAGGCCTTTTCATTCCACCATATTTATGGTCCTGGGGTCCCTTCCAACTCTAAGGTCCTCTGTGCTTCCCAAATTCTTTTCAGCCCATTTCCCTTTGGTTCAATGCTTGTTTCCACGACTGATGCAATCAAAGAAAATCAATAGTTGTGACATAAGCAAATGCTTAGCTACTGCTGCTTCCCAATGTCCTGAAATGGAATGGAAAGTTTGTGTTCTGGGCCAGCTCTGGGAGGTGGTATAGGCTCAGGGCCCATCCTAGGAGTGTAGGGAAAGAAAAGCACCCTGTGCTACCCAAGGGTATTTATTTAGGTGAAATCTGGTGAGCTGATACATGTCCTAACCCATCAGAGGTGATGGATTCGAGGTGCATAATGAGATAGGCATTTTTGGACACAGCCAACATGAAAATTTGTTTGCTTCACAATGTGCATTTGTTACAAGGATTTTATTTTTGTATTTTCTCATTTTTTGTGGGTGGGGGGATTGAGAAGAGTGAGGAAAGCTAGGAATTAGGGTGGCTGAGAGGAAGGGGCGGGGGAGAGAGAGAGAGGAGAGAGAGAGAGAGAGAGAGAGAGAGAGAGAGAGAGAGAGAGAAGAGAGAGAGAGAGAGAGAGAGAGAGAGAGAGAGAGAGAGAGAGGTCATTGAAGCATGTTTTTGAAATGCTTCAGAAGAGAACAGAAGGAAGGCCAGAAGGAATCACAGACAAGCAAGACAGCTTTGAAGGTGACATGTTGAATTTGTTATATACTTAAAAAGAAAAGCGAGCTGTACATGATGGCTATTGGCATCTCTGTTCTACTGAGTGCATGTAAGTGCTTATCTAAATTGACATTTTTGAGTTCAGATTTTTTTTTAAAATGGGGGGTGGTGGTGGAGAGAAATTCAGGGAACAGGCATCCCTGGACTTCAAGAGCAATCCTGGAGGGGAAAAGGAACCACAAGTGGACATTATGCAGTCTGAGGGATGTGTGGAGACAAGGAGTGGTGGGAAGAGAAGAGGAGCTGTCATGAGAGCCGGGTTCCAGTTCTCTCTGCTCCTAACTAGCTGTATGACCTTGGGTAAGTCACACCCCTTCTTATCTACATAAAAAGGGGCATGACCAGATGATCTTTACTCCCTAGCCATCTCTGAGATCAGACCCCTAGCCCTAGACTTAACCCTTTATGTCTGGAACTCCTGCCCAGTATCCCAACGTCCTGACTGATGGTTGTCTCTGTTACCCAATACATCTAGCGTTGGCTCTAGCCACACCTTCCCTGTGGTCATCTCACTGGCCTCCATGTCACTGCAGGTGTGCCCGCCTCCTTCCCCTACTCTCCAATTCTGGATCCTCAAGCTAATCAACTCTCATTGCTTCCAGAACGGATGTATTCATCCACCAGGCTATCACTCCACTCACCATGCCTGTCACTTTCCCAACCAAAATAACTCTCCTTAGCCACCACTGACCTTTATGTGCTGTCTCTCCCTCTAAGAATGTAATCTCCCTGAGGACAGGGTCTGTCTTTGCTTTTGCCTTTGTATCCCTACCACTCAGCAGTGTGTGACACATAGCAATGCTTTTTCATTCATGCATTCACTTATTTATTCATTCATTCTCCTAGCTCCTTTTCAGTTCTATGGTTCTGGGGGGAGAGAGAAATGGAGAGACAGAGACAGAGATAGAAACAGAGATAGAGATAGAGACAGAAACAGAGAAAGAGACAGAGAGAGAAACAGAGAGAGACAGAGAGAGACAGAGAGAGACAGAGACAGAGAGACAGAGACAGAGAGAGATGGACAGAGATAGACAGAGACAGACAGAGAGAGACAGAGAGAGGGAGAAGGAGACCGAGAGACAGACATGGAAAGAAACTGAAAGAGAGAGAGAGGGAGGAAGGGGGGGGCAGAGAGAGAGAGAGGGAGAGAGAGAGAAGAGAAACTTAATTTACTAAAGCTCAAACCATTGGCATAGCTTAAGTCCTAAAAAGCCAAGCCCATGAGGAGTTGGGGCTCCTCAGACTTGACAGATTCCTTGGGGCACTGTGAGTCAACACACCTTCTGACTAAGGGCACCACTGTGGTATTTGCCACAGTGAGAAGCTTTGCTCACCTGTATCAACACTGTATTTTGCTGAATTTCCTTCCCACACTATTGTTAAGTAAGTGTCTTTTGTTCAATGTTGGATGGTCTAGGAGGGTCTCATTTTGTTCTAATGCCAAACCTGAACCACCGGACACACACACACACGTGGCCTGAAGAGGCCTAGCCCTAATCACCTGCTCACACTCACACGTATAGCCATGATGCGTCAGAATCAGGATTTGAACTCAGGATTTCCTGAATTCAAATCTATTTCTCTGGTCACCACACCACACTGTTATTTACCTTCCATAGACTTAAACAACCCTTTTCTTGGTCAGTAATTAGATGCAGAGATGTGATGCTTTCTCAAACTGAGGGCAAAAGTTAAAGAATCTGAGAAATACCAGATTTTAAAAAACTGTCCTGCTTTCCTCTTTGTATACTGCCTGCAGGAAGGATCTAGAGAAATGAGTTTGTCTTACAGATGAGGAGAGTGTGTGTGTGTGGGGGGGTTTCAGCCAAATACGTGGCTATCTGCTTCTCTTTCATTTACCTTTGAAATGCCATGGTCTGTTGTGGGCCCAGTAGAAGAGGAATGTTTGGGATGAGACTGTGGGAAAGAAAACCCAGAGCCCTGAATTGGGAAACTGGTTAGCTGAGTGGTGGTGCACTTGGAATTCAAATATTTCACTTACAAACATCAGCACACTTGCCACTCTCAGCCAAGACTCAGCCTCCATCAGTATGTGGCTCTTTCCTTAAGAGCTTCCTGTTTACTTACCAGGTGGGAGAATCCAGCTGGGCATTATGGTCTACCACATGAAAAAACCCCAGAACTTTCCTGACATTTCTCCTGTGGTTGGGAGCCACCAAAGTCCCCAAACCATTTTAGGCTTTGCTGCACAAACATGTATATTCAGGGAAATGGAATTGACATGTTTCTGTTTTGTTTCCACTTTAACTGAATTTCTCCAGCCTTCCAGACCAGAGATCTAAAGCTGAAGGGACCCTAGAGGCCATCGATTCCATTTCCCTCACATTATTGATGAGGAAAATGAAGTGATTTCCTCAAGGTCATGCGAGTGGCAAGCATGAGGGCAGGACGTGCATCCAGGTCCCCTGACTTGAAATCCATCATTCTATCCACTGCCCCATGATATATTTCTTCTTTCTTATATCTAACATCATATGGAGATCTCCAGTCAGGTTTCTCCTTAGCCAGGAATATATTAAGATTAGCCTATATGCAGCTGTGTGACCCTGGGCAAGTCACTTAACCCCAATTGCCTTAAAAAAAAAGATTGGCCTATATGGATAATGAAACAGGCTTTTTTCTCCTTGGCAGGGAGGTGGGGGGCTACTTGGTCAGGATGTTACATATGTTGTCAAGTGTGGTCACCATGAGAGTTGTTTTTGGTTAATTGGTTTGCTCTGTTACAAGGGAGTGTCCAGTTCCTAAAAGGAATTGGGGTTATGATCCAAAAATGATATACAAACAAAACTCACTTTTTAAGAAGAGAAAGGAAAAGGAATATGTCTATTTTAGAGGAAAGAGAAAGCAGTGGAAGAGATCAAGGGCCCCAGAACAATCATATAAAAAAATGAAGAGGCCTTGGCTATGCATGAGAAGAGTGACTTTTAACTGAAATGGAGTGGTGGGAAATTGCAGCCATCAAGCTTGCCCCCAAAGAGGAGAGAGGAGCAAGCAGCGGGGTGGAGGCGGAGGTGGGGGCTACTCTTCCTTTATGTCATCCGGGTTGGTTTTACTGAACTATTCCCTCCCCACCCTTTTTCATTCTTTGTTTCAACGGATGGCCCACTGGAAGAGGGAGCAATACAGTAGGAAAACAAAAGATATCCACAACCTGAAAAAAGAATGAATTCTCTTCACATTCTGACACAGCCCTGTCCTCCATGGGTACAAGTCCCAGCCCAACCATGCTTTTTTCCCTAATGGGCCCTTCTCATTTGTGTCCTTCCCAAAATCCTCCGCAGAGGCTCCCCACAATAGGGAGACGGCCTCCTTCTAGGTCTTTTCATATTTCATGGCTTCCATGGTAAAGCATAATCTGTTACCTTCATGTTCACTATTCTTCTCCAATTAGGCCTCACCTTGATATCTTTTCTCCCACTTCTCATACACAAATTCCTTTAAATAGTGAGCTTTGCCCCCTCCCCAGCCCCAGACATTCAAATTGGAATTCATTACACAGAAATTAAGTTTCACCACAACTTCTTAGGAGGGTGCCTGCTGTGGACAAATGCATTTGGTTGGAAGGAAACTGACTTATGACTGGGGTCATAAAGTGGCCTTTTGGGGAGCCCTCAGGTTAGTGGTCACCTTCACTCTTCTCATGGACTGAGAACTGGCTGGCACTTTGGAGGTGATCAAGACAGTCAGAGAATTGGAGAATCTTTGAGTTGGGAGAGATTGGAAGCCACCCAGTTCATCTCCTCTGTGGACCTCCCTAACAAGTTATATTTGCATATCGGAGCGCAGATCTAGAGCTGGTAGGGCCCTCACAGGCCATCTAGTCCAACTCTTCTGGTTTGCAGATGAGGAAACTGAGGCTGACTTCCCCATGGTCACACAGGTAGTAAGAGGCAGGATTTGAATCCAGGTCCTCTGCCTCCAGAGCCAAGGCCTTTTCCTGGTCATCAAGAGCTTTGAGAACTTCAACAATGAGGAAGCCACTCCTTTACAAGGCATCTCACTTTTCCAGAGTTCTCACAGTGGAGAAGTTTTCCCTTGGATATAGAATAAATTTCTATCTTAGATAGAGGAAGTTTTCCCTTAGAGGTAGCATAAACAACTGCCTCTCTTCTACCTCCGCTCCCGGATCTGCCTTGCCAGGGCCAAGCAAAACAAAGCTAATTCCTCTTCCATTGGCCAGTCATTTAAATACCTGAAGATAAACATCATGGTCCCTTTAAATCTTTCATTGACCTGGGGAGTTCCTCAAAGTCTGCAAGTCCGCCGGAGGGGGAGCAGGAGCTGGAAGGCATCTTATGGTCTCAATATACCATAATCATGCCTCCATTTGGATGCATGGAGCCAGCAACCAATAATGGAGCTGGAGATGGGGAGGAGGGTAGGGAGAGGGGAGGAGTCCCAGGGTCAATCCTTCAGCTCAGACAGTCAATTATCTCTTTGGATGCACTTAAGGCTGGAAGAAATTGAATTTTTGACACCTGATTGGCCCTGAGCTGTTATTTTACAGGTTCACAAAGTTAGAACTGAGAAGATGGCTCATGTGGTGGTGTTCAGTGGACCCTGAGGCGTATTATTACTGGGTTTTTTTTCCCTTTTCTGGAGCTTGAAATGTTTAGGGGGATTGTAGCTCCTTTGGTCAAAGACATAGTGGCTTAAGAATTCTAGGTTCACAAGCCTCCATAGGCCAACATTAATCCCCTCAAAGCCGTGACCAGGAAGAACTGGAATCTTGCGAAATCTTGGGTACTACTCCTATTTGTATTTTCCTTCCTGTTTGTATTAACAGTCTCACAAAGAGTATCAGAGCTGGAAGAGAATCCGGAGAGCAGCCTGTCACTAGGCTGCTCCAAAATCCTTCGTGGCTCTCTAGTACCCACCGAGGAACATTTAAAATCCTTTGCCTGGTTGATGTTTTAGGCCCAATACAAACTGAAGCTACTCTACCTTGCCTGTGTTAACTGGTGTCACTTCCCTCCATGCAGCCCATGTTTCTTCTTAGACTGGGCGGGTCTCTGCCCCCTCACCATCTGCCAAGTCCTCACCCCTCATGTCTTTGCCAGGTAGCTAGTGCAGAATCCCAGGCTTTTTGAGTTGGAAGGGACCTCAGAGGCCTCCAGTCTGCATGGCTAGCAGCCATCTCTCTGATGTGCTTGTTCTGGAGATCAGACCTGGGATCTCCTTGGTACTGGGAGCTGCCGAGGAGGAAATGGCCTCTATCAATGTAGGCCGATGATGCTTCTGCCTCTTATATTCTTAAGAGACTTGCCAGGGCTCACAAAGCCTGGATGTGTCGGAGGTAGGCCATGAATCCAGGTCTTCTGATTCAACGGGTCACGGCTGCCAGCCATAAGGTGCTTTGGGGTTGGCCAAATCCTTTATGGAGCTGATCTCGGGTGAGTCTCTCCATGACGTTGGTCCTGCAGGGGTTCTACTCATTTCACATAGGAGGAAACTAAGACTCAGAGATGACAAATGACCTGGGATCACACGAGGAACAGAGCCAGCTTTCTTGCCTCCAAGTTCAGCCCTCTTTGCACGCTCACAAGAAATATAAGACCAACTTGAAAATATCAAAGCTTTAATGGAGAAAGAAGAGGAATCCGCCCTCTGTCCCTCACCTGATTGGTCCTCTGTCCTTTCCCTCCCATACTGTCTGGAGGGCACAGATCTGTCCCCTTCCCCACCCATTCAGGCTGCAGGCTGTGTGGAGAAGGGCAGACGCTTACTGACTACAACTCCGGGGAGATGACCTCTGCTGTCTGCTTCCTGGAGTCCTCTGCACCTTGGGAAACAGAACAGTTGTAGACTGACCCTGCAGGTGTAGACAGACCCCCGGGCCTCTGGAGCTGGGGCAGGGATGAGGTCAGGGCTTGAAGAGAGCCCTGTCTCCTGGGAACACTCCGCTTTCATTGCTGGGTGCTTGAGACTCTGCAGTGTTAGAGGAAGTTCAGAGAGTTGATGACCATGAAGCGGGAGAAGATGACATAGAGGTGTCGGAACCAGAGGAGCTGACTTTCGTGACACAGCATGGCCTTCTGGAGGGAGGGAGGAAGACAAGGATGAGGACCGGTGCCTACCAAGACAACGGTCCCGGCTTAGCTGGGCAGGACACTCCCCAAGAGGATGCCAAAGCTCTCTCCTTCTTTCTTTGGATCTCCAGGGCTTAGGATAGGGCATGGTAATGAGATGCTCATTGGGCTGGACAGAGCTACCATGCACCTGCAATTTATAGAGGACGGAAGTGAGAGAGATGAAGTGGCTTGTGCAGGGTCCCCCAGCTAGGAAGACGCCAGGACAGTGATGGGAGAAAGGCCAGAGGCAGCCGTGGGAGGCTCCCCTCCCTTGTCCCTTACCCAGTCTGTAGGGTTCTCAGGTGCCTTTCTCCCGTCAGAGCTGCCCCTCATTAATTGCACCACATAAAAATGTGGTTGGGAAGGAGGGCAAAAGCCTTGGGGCCAGAGATGGCTGGACAAGGAGACTGAAAAGAAACTCTTGTACTGCCTGAAGGACAGTGTGAAGCCCCCGGAGCCAAAGCATCTGGGTTGGGGTCTGGGCACTGCTAGGAATGGCCTGTATGACCATTGCACAATGACCTTGCACAAGTCACTTCCCCTTTGTGGGCCTTGCTCTCCCCATTTGTAAAGAGAGGGTGCTGGTCTGGATGACCTGGAAGTGCTGCTCCATCTCTCCAACCAAAGCTCCCATGTGACCAGTAGAAGCCCTTCCCTGACCTCCCTCTTCCCTTTGCCTTCCTCTTTCAGTGTTCTCCTCAGCTCTCATGGGCTCAACTTTCTTCTTCTCTACATAGAGAACTCCCAGCTCCCACAGCCACTCCAAGCCTCTCTCCCGAACTCCAGTCCTGAATCACTGACTGACCCTTGGATGTGTTGAACTGTCCATGCCACAGGCGCCTGAAGCTCAACATGTCAGTTCTTCTGGCTGCCCAAGTTGGAAGACCTAGAGTCATCCTCAACTCACCCTATGCATTCACATCATTCACATTCATCACATACTTATTAAGTGGCCCCCTAGGTGGTACAGTGGATTGAGCACTGGGCTGGGGCTCATGTTCATGAGTTCAAATTCAGCCTGAGGCACTTACTAGCTTCACCCTGGGCAAGTCTCACTTTCCTCATCTGTCAATGAGCTGGAGAAGGAAATGGCAAACCACTCCAGTATCTCTGCCAAGAAAACCCCAAATGGGGTCACAGAGAGTTGGACTGAACAAATTTATTAAGTGCCTCAAGATTCATTCATTCAACACTTACTAAGCACTTACAATGTTCCATTCACTTTGTAAGCCCCTGCAGTGTTGTTCAATCATTCATTCGTGTCCAACTCTTCATGACCCTATTATAGTGTTTTCTTGGCAAAGATACTGAAGTGGTCTGCCATTTCCTTCTCCAAAACCACCGGGGTAGACAAAGTCAAAATCCCAAACAAACCTTGGCCTCAAGGAGCTTACATTCTTCTAGAGTAACTTACCCTTTTCTAGGATTGTACGAGGAGGAATACTAGTTCCAATGACCGCTCCCCCTCCCAAAGAAACTTCTGACATGACTGCCTAGCCCAGAACAGAATAAAAGGTAGTGGCAGATGGTCCTCTGAGTGTAGGCCTGCCAGAGCCTCAGGAGACTCGTGGTCTTCCCTCACCTTGGCCTGCTCTGCTTCTTTTCTGGTTAGCACAAAGAGGACATCCTGGGTTTGTAACCAGGTGAAGGGCAGGTCCAGGATGGACATGTATTTCCGCAGCATATTCACAGACTCCAAGGTAAGGACTGAGCATCCTGGGAAAGGGATTGGGTAAAGGAGGCAGAGAGAGGAGAAGGAAGGGAGACAAAAGGGTTAACTCCGTCATTATGAGCTCATGGCTTCTTCCCATGTACTTCTTCCCCACCACCTTGCCCCCTTGCCAGTCCAGCTCTACTTCCTATGCCGCACTGCCTATCACATTCAGGAGGGGACATGGTGACAGTGAGGAGAATGCTGGACTAGGAATCAGGCACCCAGCTAGGCCACTAAGTCACAGTGTGACTGACTTGGGCAGGTCCCATTGTACAATAAGGACAAGATGTGAAGGCATGGATAAACTGATTCCATAGCGGCTTCTATCTCTGCGGGTTCACAAGTCTTTTCCAGCCAGATCTTCCACCCCTTATTCCCCTTATGTCCCTCTGTGGCCAAAGAGGCGGGAAGCCATGGTGGACCTCGCCCTTTATTTTTGAGTCGGAGGGTGGGGGACCTGTGCCTGTGATGAACATCTGGGCCTGTTACCAGTGGCAAGTCAGAGAACCTTCCTGGGGCTCAGCTTTCCCCACTATCAAAATGCCCCAAATGCCCCAGCTCCTCCGAGATCACTCACGAAATGCAGCCCAAAGCTGGCAGCTACCCTGTCATGCATTCACATGCAAATAAGGGCTAAGGTTTATCTGGAGCTTTGGGGTTGGCAGAGTGTTTCCTGTCTGCACTCCCCTCTTTGATCTTGACAAATTGCTTCTGTTTCTCCCTCCCGGTTCCAAATATTCTGCATCATGCTTCCCCTGACTCCTCCCTCCCTCCTGGACTTCCTCATAGGAGTATAGCTTCTTACTGTACAGTGTGACCCCACTGTCCACTCTATTTACCCAGGGACTTGCCAGGCCAGATTGGCCTCTTCTAAAAGGACCTGGGCTGGTTCCTCCTCCCTTTTGCCTAAACTTTGGGCATTTATGTGGAGGCACCCAAGGGGGCTGGACTAGAATCTCAGGAGTTCGTACCCTGCAGACCTTGAATTTGTTTATTTGGATAACTATTTCTTCCTAGTTGGTTTCCTTTGTAACCCTAAGAGTTTTATCTTATGCACTTAAGCACATGATTCTGAGAAGGGTCCCAGGCCTCCCCAGGCTGCCAAAGGGACCAATGACTTACAAAGGCTAAGAGCCCCTGCCCTAGGTGCTCCTTAAGGGCAGCTCTGCTCTCCCCCTGTGGCTGTCATCAGAGCAGTCCTCATCAGGAGGCCGAGAACCCAAATTGGGGTGAGGAAAAGCTGGACAATCAGGCAGGCCCAGCCCCGCCTTGGGAGTGGGAGGGGAGGCTTAGCACCAAGGTGAAGGTCACCTAGCCCATGCTGGCCTTCGAGTAGGCTGTAGTAGAGGTCTGGGAGCGGTAGATGGCGCTCAGCACTGCTCCCTCGTGGGCAGCCGCCCACGTGTGCCCAGGCGGGGTAGGCAGGAGTCACATGGACTCTTCTCTCTGGGCAGGCGTTGGAGCCCGGCACTTGTCAGATCAGAGACCTTGGCAGAAGTGCCGTGATCCTGGGGTCCTTGTCCTGGGCAGGGGGCTGCTCTGCTGGGCTTGGGATTTGGGGGGTGGGCTCAGGAGCCAGTCTTACTTTTTAAAGTTGTATTACTAGTCTTACTTTTATAAGATGTTCTTATTTTTAAAGTTGTTTTATTCTTTGATATAAGGGATGACTCTGGCATGGAAGAGGAGAAATAGAGGGGAAAGTCCAGGTGAGGTAAGAACTAAAGACATCAATAAAATCTATTTTTTAATAAGTTTCCAAGATACCTTTGTTTTACCCCCTGCCCCCAAGTCACTTCCCCTTAAAACTCCTCACTACAGCTGCTTATTTCTAAGAACTGTACAAGAAAATGCCTCCTCTGTGCTGGGCAGATTTCCTTTCCTTCTGCAGAATCATAGAGCATTGTGGCTAAAAGTGAGCTGAGAGCTCATTAACTCTTATGGAAGCTGGACTGCAGACAAGGAAACTGAGGCAGAGGTCAAGTCACAGGCCTAGGGTCATACAGGGCCAAATCCTAGGCTGCATTTGAACTCAGGGCCTCCCAACTTCACCATCAAGCTGCCTCTTTTTTCAGAAGAGGAAGCTGAGGCTCAGAGAAGCCTCATGCTTATTTCAAGTGCTCTTCCGACCCTGTGAGGTATCTATTATTAGCCCCATTTTATAGATGAAATTCTCAGAGAGGCTAACTTACTTGCCTAGAGTCACACTGCCAGTGTGTGTCTGAGGTGGGGTTCAAACCCAGCTCTTCCTGACTGTAAGTGGTCCTTTCCCTCCCCAGTGTGAGCTAGAGGCTGGGAGGGGAATAGAACCTGGGGTTCATGAGCCCCCAGGGCTCCTTCCATTACCACCACGCTGGGTCTCAATAAATGATGGGCTTACCCAGGTCAGCCAAAATGACCCCTAGACACCCTTTAGTGCGGAGACATGACGAATCAGAGCTGGAAGAGACCTTCACAATCCAGTCCAACCGCTTCATTTTACAGATGAGGAAACAGAGGCCCAGGAGCTAGAACCTGAGTCTTCTGATTCCAAACTCCACTCTTTTCACTATACCATGCTGAATTCAGAAGGTGAGGGGACCCAGGAAGTGTCCTCCCCCTCTCTGGTGATTGGCTAGGCTGGCTAAAGGCGGGTATGGAGGATAAAGGGTGGAGAAGAGTAGGGGTTCAGGGCCTACAGGATATAGATGCATCTGGTGCTCATCTCTTAATCAATTTAGTTACACCAGCAGACATGGTGAGGAGAAGGTGAGGAGCCTGGGTGGGGGTCCTACGAATGGAACGTGTATGGGAGCAGGGGGAGCTGAGCAAAGAAAGGAACCTTTGGCCCCCTAGGTTCTCTCTGAAGGCCTCACTCAGCAGGCTGGGCAATGAGCCAGGGAAACCCCGGCCTGAAGGAGAGTGGCCACAGCTGCTGTGACCCTTGGGAGGGGGTAGTACAGGAGGGGAAAGCATCTGGAGGCCTCCAAACTGCCTCCCAGCAGCGCAGCCCTTAGGGACCAGGGCAAGAGTGGTGCCATCCTTGGCAGCCGGGCAATGATCCCTCCCGCTCTGTGTGTGTGTGTGTGTGTGTGTGTGTGTGTGTGTGTGTGTGTGTGTGTGACCTTGGGCAAAGTCAGCACCTCTCTCAGCCCCCAAGTCTCAGGCCAGTCTCAAGCTTACTCAAGGGCGAGGAGGCTAACTTCCATCCAGGGTAAGAAGAGTCTGATGGGGAATGAAATCATGGGCGGAGCTCAGCACTTTGGAACACCCAGACGCCTCTTTCTCTGACCTCTCCAAGGTGAGCCGGTTCACCCAGCGGGTCCAGCTGGCTTTGCTGTAAATGATTTATCATTTATGAGGGCACTGGGCTGATGTGGGAATGGAGCAGGCACAGGGCCGGTCCATGTTTCCCATATCTCTCCAAGGAAGTATTTGGGCTGCACGCCCCTGTCACTCAGCTCTCATTAAGCCTTTCCGAAAGCCAGCTTCTCAGGCCTGCCCGATCACATGCCAGCTGGGCAGCACGGCCCAGCCTATATTTGGAAGGGCTTAGTGTAAAGTGCTGCTCCCAAGCCTGAGCCTTCCCAGTGGTTGCTATGTGCAGGCTGGGAGACAGAGATGATGTAATCCCTCCCATCCGCTCAGCTCTCCTCCCCGGGGCTGAGGAGGAGGGGGCTGCCCAGCCTACACTAATGCTCAGGTGTGGAGAGGATTGTCTGGAATAAGAGAATATTTGATGCTGGGATCCCAGCCGGGAGCTGCCAGAGCCAATACCTGTGGCAACCTCCTTTGGAGGGCTCCAGAGCTGTGTGGGGGAGGGGTGACAACAGGCCTTGGAGCTCATCTCACCAAACTGTCTTGTTTTACACAGGAGGACACTGAGGCAGGCCTACACAGGTAGCTCGATGTAGTGGAGAGGGCCCTGAGTTTGCTCTCAGGAAGACCCCCTTTTAAATCCTGCCTAAGATACTGGCTGCTTGACTCTGGGCAAGTCAATAAACCTCCCTCTGGGGCCTAGTTTTCTCATCTGTAAAAAACAGAGAGGGATAAGGTTGGCCTTGATGGCTTCTGAGGTCAGATGCAGAACCACGATCCTATAATGGGTGGTCCTACACTTGTCATTCTGATAATTAGGGGCAGAGCTGGGACAAGGAGGCCACATATGCAGACCTCCGGTGCCCTGGTCATCATGCCAGGATGCCGGCTTATCACCCTCCCTTTCCTCGTCTTTAAATGCTCAGGTCATCTGGATCACAATTTCTTTACCTTGGATCCTGGAACTCCTCTGCAGTGTCTGAGGGAGCCTACGGATCCCTTCTCAGAATCATGGTTTTGTATGCATGACATAAAATACGTGGGATTAGAGAGGAAACAAATCATTCTGCAGTATAGTCAGCAAAGTATGGCTTGTTTGTTTTTTAGAGTTCACAGGTCTCAGGTTAAGAATTTTGGACCAAGCTCTTCCTTTTATGGAAGAGGAAATCGAATCTCTCTGGGAGGTGAACTCAGTTACCCAAGCCCACCCAGGTAAGTACTGGGGAGGCAAGACTCCAAGCCAGCTGTTGGCACTCTGGATCAAGTTGGTCCCTTTCCTGGGAAATCACTGCCCTTCAGGGGCTGCATCTCCCGACTCCCAAGCTCTTCATTTCTATTTGCAAGGGGGATCAGTGAGTGTCTTCCCCTGAGCAACCTCCAAGCCAGTTTGGTCTCAGCCTTGCCCCCTTCCCTGGCCCCTCTCTATGCCCCGACAGCCACGGTGATGCCAAGTCTTGGTGAAGACAGAAAGTCTGACGGAGTGCAAGCATTCTTGGTCATATTGCTGGGTCCCAGGTTAACAGGGAATTTCCTAACCATGCTGCCTTGCTCCCAACAGTGCCATAGGGAGCGGCTTCATTTTGTAAGTGAAGGAGTTTAAATGCATATCCTGAATGGGGTGTGCAGCCCAAGAACTTGGTGCCCTCCCTCCGCCATCCTCCTTCTTGCTGCCCTCCCAATGCACAGTGTGGTGCTCTCGGTTTAGAAGGACGATGCTTACATTCAGGGCTCAGTTCAGACACTTTCCTTTGGTGTGATCACAGCATTGTCATCAGTTGGACCAGGAAAGGACCTCATAGGCATCAGGGTCACCCCCTTAATTTTACACCAGAGGAAACTGAGGACCAGAGAGGTTAGATGAGAGAGAAGTCTTTTCCTGAAGGATTTGGATTCACTGTCTCTGATTCAGTCTTGAAATCCAGCAGCCCACTTTACTATGTGACCACTCAATGTGTCAGAGATCCAAATCTAACTTTTTGTTGGCCAAGGTCACACAGGTAATAAGAGGCACCCGTGGGGTATGGGGCAAGTGACTTAGCCTCTGGGCACCGTGGTTAGCTCATCCGCAGCATGGAGACGATGGTATTTACCTTCCCGGTCCTGTGGCACCGCTGGAAGGAGGGCTCTTTGCAGACTTGGAAGCCCCATTGAAATGTGAGCTGTAAGGACGGCTCTGGGCTGCCCTGGCTCTGTTAGGAGGGGGAGAAGCTGTCATTGAATGGGACAAGCCCTTGGTCCGGAGGTGGAAGATCCCAGTTGAATGTCCAGCTCGATCTGTTATTCACACAACACAAGAGCTTAGGCTCATGGTTTGGCAGTGAAAAGGACCTTGAGCGAATCTTGGGATTGTGGCTCCACAGCCTCATCCTAGACAAGGAAACTGAGGCCGGGGGGGGGACAGTTTGCCCAAGATCACAGAGAGGAAGCGGCAGAGCCTGGATTCGAACCCAGAGCCAGTGTTCTTCCCATAAAGTTCTTGAGAGCAAAGATTACTTTTCATTTTAACTTTATATCCCCAGTGCCTTGCACACAGTAGGTGTCTCACAAGTATTTTGGACCTCAGGTCCCACTTTTGTGAAATGAAGGAGCTGGACCAGATATCCTCCCGTGTCCTTCCAGCTGTGAATTCCATGACTGACCCATTCAAGGCATGAGGGGCTTCACAAAGGACCTCGGGAGGCGGAAGCCTTGTCTCAGAAGGTGCTGACTCCTCCTGAGCAGGGCCCCTACTCTAAAGAGTGTCAGAGAAGTAGGGCTGGCAGTGCCCACAGTGCCTGGCACACACGGCACAGGCCTCTCAAGGGCAGGGGCTTGCCCTCCCCTCCCCCTGGGGCAGACAGCCTCCAAGCTTTGGTCTCCCTTCCAAGATGCCAAAGGGAGAAAGAATCAGACTCTCCCAGAGCTGGCAGGAGAAGATGCGCATGACTCAGGGCAAGCCCCTCTTAGGGGGAAGCAGCGCCCTCAGCCCCCTTACTAAGCACAGCATTTCACTTTTCTCCTTCCTTCTTCCAATCAGGGATGCTCCCCATCCTAACCCACCAACAGGCCTGGAATGTCCTCACTAGAGGTTTTGGCTTTGGGTCTGGAATGCTTTGGGTCTCTGAATTCCAGAGCTCAGCACAGTTGGGCCACAGTACGTGCTTAATAAATGCAAATGCATGGAGACTGGGGAGGAGTGGGTTGGAGGATCGGCTCTTTGGCCAACCCTCAGGGTGACCTTGGCCAAGGTCGATAACCTCTCTGAAACTCAGTTTCCTTCCTCTGCAAGACGATAAAGTCTAGCATTCTGCGATCCTTCCTCTGGACTCGCCTTGGGCCTGCCAATAAACATTTCAGAAGGATGGAGGAGGCACAACAGTTTCAATGTGGGATTCCTTTGACTCACAGCCCTCTGCTCCTGACCCCAATCAGCGCTCCAGGTGGAAGCCTTTCTCCTAGCTAACTAGCTGGCTTGAAAACAGTGCAGGGAATGGCCTTACCTTCAGGCAGTTTTCCCTGGGAATGTAGGAACCTGGAGAGGGAAAGAGAGACAAGTGTAAGCCCTCTCTCTCTAAGGACTGATCTTACATTTCAATAATGCCCACTGCCCCCCTCTCCTCCATGATTTCATTGGCACAGGGATCTTCCAATTACAATCTGTAATCTTACAGATTTAGCTGTGGTGGTCAGAGGCCAAGTGACTTGCCCAGGGTCACACAGCTTGACAAGGCCCTGTCAGGAACAGCACTTGAATCCAGTCTTATTGACTCGGAGACCATCTCTCTAACCACCAGACCACCCCACTGCTCTATGGATTGCTGTTTTCAAATATCTTCCTTCTCTATGATAATTTCTATCCATATATGTTTAAAGATAAAATACTGACACGTGATGTAGGAGATAGAGGTATACCCCAGTGCCAGGGAGCCAGGTTCTGCTGACACATACTGGCCGTGTGATACTGAGCACCAGCCCAATCTCCATCTTCTGCCTCTGTGAATTTGTATTGGTCCTTGTCTCTCACCCAGCATCTCCTCCCTCTCTTAGCTTCCAGATGCTCATTTTCCTTCAGGACTCACCGAGAAGCCTTCTCTGAGCCCCTCAGTGAAGGAGTTTCCTTCCTCTGCACATTTCCCTGGTGCACCTTGACTGGATTTCATCTTGGGTCCCATCGATCCCTGTTTATCTATGTACACGTCCCCCACCCCTCAAAAGGACAGATGCTCCTTGAGGGAGGAGAATGGGTCATTTTAAAATTTTCATTTTCTAAGTACCTAAAGACAGTGTGGCAAAGGAGGGAAGAAGATGGTTGTCAGGAGGACCGGGGTTTAAATCCTGCCTTTGAGGGTCACTAGCTTTTAACCCCTTGCCTTAGCACAGTACAGTTGGAAGAGCACCAATTCTAGTCAGAAGCCAGGGTTCAAATCCCACCTCTGAGGCTTGTGACTGTTGGGCAAGTTCCTCAACCCCCCTGGGTCTGTTTCCTCATCTGTCAAACAAGGGGGTTTGGTCCTGGTGGTATCTGGGGTCCGTGCCAGCTCTATAAGGGAGCTTATATAATTTTAGTTCTAGAACCTACAGGCTGCGATCTGAGTTGGTGGAGGGAGTGCCCACACCGGGAGTTCCCTCCAATGAAGGAAGTTAGTCATGGATCTATCATGTCTCCAGGTAGCCCCAGAGCTCAGCATGGTGTCTTGCTTATAATACTTAATAAATACTTGTTTAACTGGTTCTATCCATCATTTTTGATTCTCATCATCTTTCTGTAGTGAAGGTTAAAAAAAAATGTGTCTGACTCCATTCATTTGGAAAGTGAAGGCTAAAGAGGGGATGAGTCAGAGCAGTGACCCTTTCTGGGGGCCAGCCCTCTTACTGTCCCGCCTCTCCCCTCATAGTATGTGGGAGGCTGCTCTCAGGTGGGACACTCCTGGGGGGGGTTCCCTTCTCCCAGTAACTAGAAGATGTGTGGGAAATCTGAAGGATTTAGATTCATTTGTATACCAGCCAGGCACCTGCTCTGGCTGTGACTTCTTTCACTCCAGTGCCATATTTAGGGCAAAGGCACCCAAATATTCCACCCGTGATTTCTGAACCAATCAGTTCAGCACATGGAAGGGGTGAAGGCACAGCCATCAGGGCCAGCCTGGGCTGCCTCTCTGCTCTCAGCCCCAACTGGAGATAAGCGGGCAATGCCTGGGCCTGTCCTGTCCTGCCCTGTCCTCAACCTTGGACACAAGAATGAGGGAGGGAATGCACCCAGGCAAAACTTGAGGGTGTCTTCTGCCTCCCTTGGGGCAGATGCCAAGGTCAGACAAGATGGAAGACTCACAACAGATCTGGGAAAAGTGCAGACTCCTGATGTTGGAGTATACACTCCCTCTCTGCTGGTGCTCCCAGTAGCCAACAAGACTGTGGGAAAGGGGATGAAAAAAGAGAGAAAGAAATTCTGGAGAGGCTGGAGGGAAAGTGAAGGCCAGATTGCCCAAGTGTGATCTACTTTAAAGTGGCACCTCAGCTGCGGAGCAGTCAACCCCCCAGATGCCAGTGTCACATGGTGGGAAGAAAGCCAGCCTCGATGTCAGGAGCCTTCGGAGGGTCTGAGCTCAGTCCTTCGCTGTAGGACCCTGGGCAAGTCCCTTAGCTACCTAAGCTATAGTCTCTTCATCTCTCTCTTTTTTTCTTTTTAATATAAATTTATTTATTTTTTAGCTTTCAACATTCACTCCCACAAGTTTTTGAATTCCAAATTTATACCCCATCTCCCCCTTCCTCCCACCCCAAGATGGCATACATTCTGAATATCCCTTCCCCTAGTCTGTCCTCTCTTCTATCTCTCTTCCCTTCTCTTATCCCCTTCTATTTTCCTGTAGGGCAGGATAGACTTCTGTACCCCATTTCCTGTATTTCTTATTTCCCAGTAGCATGTGAAAACAATTTTTAAAACATATATTTTTAAAACTTTAGGTTTCAAATTTTCTCTCTTCCTCCCTCCCCACCCACCTTTATTGAAGAGGCAAGCAACTCAATATAGGTTGTACATGTGCAGTTATGCAAATCATGTCCATAGTAGACATGTTGTGAAAAACTAACTCTATTTCCCTTAATCCTATCCTGCCCTCCCATTTATTCTATTCTTTCTTTTGACCCTGTCCCTCCTCAGAAGTATTTGAATTACTCCCTTTCCCAATCTGCCCTCCTCTCTATCATCCCCCTGCTCTCTTGTCCCCTTCTCCCCCTATTTTCCTGTAGGGTATGACAGATTTCCATACCCAATTGAATGTGTATGTTATTCCCTCCTTAAGCCAAATCCTATGAGAATAAGATTCACTCATTCCTCTCACCTTCCCCGTTTCCCCTCCACTGTAAGAGACTTTTCTGTTTTTTTTTGTGAGATAATTTACCCCATTCTACCTCTCCCTTTCTTCTTCTCTGAGTATAATCCTCTCTCATCCCTTAATTTTATTCTCCAGATATGACCCCTTAATCTTCAACTCACCCTGTGCCCTCTATCTATCTATCTCATATACATACATATAATTTTTTCCTCCAACTACCCTAATACTGACAAAGGTCTCATGAGTTATAAATATCATCTTTCCATGCAGGAATATAAACAGTTCAATCTTAATAAGTCTCTTATGATTTCTCTTTCCTGTTTACCTCTTCATGTTCCACTTGAGTCCTGTATTTGAAAGTCAAATTTTCTATTCAGCTCTGGTCTTTTCATCAAGAATGCTTGAAAGTCCTCTATTTCACTGAATGACCATTTTTTCCCCTGAAGGATTATACTCAGTTTTGCTGGGTAGGTGATTCTTGGTTGTAATCCTATCTCCTTTGCCCTCCGGAATATTATATTCCATGCCCTGTGGTCCTTTAATGTAGAAGCTGCTAAATCTTGTGTTATCCTGATTGTGTTTCCACAGTACTTGAATTGTTTCCTTCTGGCAGCTTGTAATATTTTCTCCTTGACCTGGGAACTCTGGAATTTGGCTACAATATTCCTAGGAGTTTTCCTTTGGGGATCTCTTTCAGAAGGAGATCTGTGGATTCTTTCAATTTCTATTTTGCCCTCTGGTTCTATATATCAGGGCAGTTTTCCTTGATAATTTCTTGAAAGATGATGTCTAGGCTCTTTTTTTGATCATGGCTTTCAGATAGTCCAATAATTTTTAAATTCTCTCTCCTGGATCTATTTTCCAGGTCAGTTGTTTTTCCAATGAGATATTTCACATTGTTTTCTAATTTTTCATTCTTTTGGATTTGTTCTACTGTGTCTTGATTTCTCATAAAGTCACTATCTTCCAATTGCTCTATTCTAATTTTTAAGGAAGTATTTTCTTCAGTAAGCTTTTGGACTTCCTTTTCCATTTGGCCAATTTTGCTTTTTAGGGCATTCTTCTCCTCATTGGCTTTTTGGACCTCTTTTGCCATTTGGGTTAGGCTATTTTTTAAGGTGTTATTTTCTTCAGTATTTTTTTGGGTCTCCTTTAGCAAGCTGTTGACTTTTTTCATGATTTTCTTGCATCACTCTCATTTCTCTTCCCAGTTTTTCCTCTACTTCCCTTACTTGCTTCTCAAAATCCCTTTTGAGCTCTTCCAAGGCCTGGGACTGATTCATATTTTTCTTGGAGGCTTTGGATGTAGGAGCTTTGACTTTGTTGTCTTCTGGTTGTATATTTTGATCTTCTTTTTCACCAAAGTAAGATCTATAGTCTGACTCTTTTTGCGCTGCTTGCTCATGATCCCAGCCAATTACTTGAGTTTTAAACTCTTTGTTAAGGTAAGAGTCTGCTTCCAATGTGGAGAATGTACTGTCCCAAGCTTCAGGGGTTTGTATAGCTGTTTTCAGAGATACTTGTAGGGACCTGTAAATTTTCAGTTCTTCCAAGGTGGTATGATAAGGGGTGAGGTGTTTACTCCTTTCCTGGCCTGTGACCACAAGTATTCTTTCTGTCCTGTAACTGTGAGGAAGGGTTCCTCTCCACAGCCACTACAAGCTCACCATGCCAGCATTCCTCCTCACCCCAGCACGCCCCCAGAACTGTGACCCAGATCCAAACAGGGGCAAAGCAAGAGATTCCTGCCTCAGCACTGGCAAAGAGATCCCTGCAATCCCTCTCTGATCAGCCACTGGACTCCCCCTCAGTCTGTGGGCCGGAAGCTTTGGGAAGCAGCTGCCCCCTCCCAGGGCCACACTCTTGGGGAATGGAGCTGAAACCCCAACTTCCTGTCTCAGCACTGACAGAAACAGACTTTTCCCACTGACCTTCCAAGCTGTCCTTGGCATTCGTGGATTGAGGAGTCTGGAAACTGCCACAGCTGCCGGAGATTCAGTCCTCTGAGGCCTGCTCCAGGTTCACTGTGGCCTGTGTGCCCTGTGCTGCACTGCACTCCCAGCCTGGCGTGATACACCTTTCTGATCAATCATCTAGGTTGTCTTGGACTGGAAATTTGTTTCACTCTGTCTTTTTGTGGGTTCTGCTGCTTCAGAATTTGTTTACATACATTTTTTAGGAGTATTTGGAGGGGTTT